GTTAAGATCCTCAGTTTTACAGAAACAAAGTTTCATTTACATTTATAATTGCCTTGGCTTGGTACTCTTACCTGCATTAATGTCATTAAAAAGAAACAACAGGCCAAAATGGAGTTACTCGTGCTAAATCACATCACCTAACTGCAGCTTCAGCATTTCCCAGGAGGGGAATTTAAACCATTCTGGAATTTCTATACTAGTAAGGTAATCTGCATGACAAAACTCCTGCCATTCCCTTACCCCAAAAGAAAATGACCTGGCCTAAAAATAGTCCTTTCTTTTCTTTTGCTACTAACTCTCCCGCCACATCCTTCTGCCTATTAAAAAAACAACACCAAAAAAAAACTTGTATGTTGTACAACACCCTCAGAGTGCCCTTCTAGCTGCTAGATGGAAATGAAGCCCAATTTATGAATACCTTAATAAAGCCAATTAGATCTTCATATTTACTAGGTTGAATTTCATCCTTTAACAGTGTAAACCACAAACCACCACAAAATGAACCAATTATTCTCGGAGTTCCACATAGCTCACAAGTACTCAGAAAGCTTTTTGGTGTTCTCTGTTAATGTCCTCATATCCATCATTCCAATTTACTTTTCTTCCACCAGGTAATGCATCATAAAACTTTCTCCCTTCCCCTCATCTCCCTTCCTGAACCCACCTGTATAAATAAATTCAATATGTCAGCATAAATATTCAAGTCTGCAGAACTTTAATGAATTTATTTGACCCAAACTGATGACAATGCCAGGGAGCAAAATCTTAGCAGATTGAGAAAATGCTCCAAAGAGTGGTAGTTTTGCAGCTTATTTTATACAGCACAATCAAAGAAGGAGATGTAAGGGTGATAACGTGAAATTCATTGATGGTTGATTAGGGAGGCAGGAGAAAGCAAGGCAACTGGATGAAGAGTAAAGCAAAGAAAAAAATACTTCTTTCACACCTGTGGGTAGGGGACAGTTAGCATTTAACATTTACAACACATATCCAGGCAACAAGATGATGACAGTAGGGGGCTCTGGGTCTCCTGCTCTCTCTCTCATGCCCTAAGGGGATTGGTCTGACATTCCGGAGGGTCTGTCATTTTAGATGCAAAAGAAACAATAGACAGATTTACCTTTGTCCCGGAAGGTGCAGCTCTAGGATGTGGTTACCTTCAATGACTCACTTTTAATTAGGAATTTTTATGTTCGGGCCATCTTATGCAGTTACTTTGTCTCTGACTTTGTTAGGCTCACAGGCCTCACATGAACTTGTCAGTTTTAGTATGTGGCCCCTTTTTCATCCACAACTATAAATAAAGGATGTGGCAAAAGTAGATTTACAGTTATGAGTACATAAAACACAGAATTATTGTATTATTATTTTCTATTATTATTTTCCACATAAACAACTGTAAACCTACTTTTGCCCCACCGTGTAGATATTTAAGGATCTTAGAACCTGCAATCCCCAGGCTAACACTTGGATATAGCTACATTTATAAAAATTTAGTATTAAGGATAAACCTAGAAATCTCTAAATCTAAAGTAACATGCTACCCAATATCACTTTCAAAATTTTTCATGATTATTTATCTATTCCATTTTTCAAAGGACATACTGTCAATTCATATTTCTTTACTTAGGATAAAAAAAAGAGTAACAAAAACAACAACAATTGCTTAGAATTCAAGAAACCCAAGTTCTGGACCCACCTCTGCTGCAATGTGAACTTAAGCAAATCACTTAACTTTTCTTGGCCAATTCCTCATCTATAAAAGGCAAGTAGCCTATTCTCAGAAGTGATCCAAATTGACTCTGCAGTTGAGGAATAGAGTGAAGATGAAGGAGAAGCCCCAGGAGACTTTGGCTCGCCTAGGACCCTGGGCGCAATAGGAGAGTGATGGGGCTGTCTGGAGAGCAGATGGCCAGTAGGACTGGAACTAGCACCCCGCTGGGAAAGCAAATAGCCGGATAGTCAGTAGGACTGGGACTAGCACCCCTGCCAGGAGGGTGGATAGTCAGTAGGACTGAAACTAGCACCCCCACTGATAGAACGATTATCATATTCTGTTTCTGTACCCCACGTTTGTCACGTACACAGGAAGACCCCTAATCTATATATTCCCCAAGAATCCTTTGTTCGGGCCTCAGAATTTGGAGACTGACTCCTCTGGGCCTGTGCACGTAAAGGAATAAACCTCGTACTCCAGAATCCCTCGGTGTCTGGTCGCTTCATTTCTGTGCAACAAAGAAATGAAATGGAATCATTATAGTTAGTTAAGCTGCTAAATCACTAAAATCAGGTAGGTTGAGGTAGGAGGAAACTATTCTATTCAGTAATCATCTCATCCCTGTCAGATCAAGAAAAGAGCGTTCATATATACAGACCACCTGACATATATTATTCAGATTGCAGGTCATCTAGAGCAGCCATTTGCAGTCTTTTTCATCTCATGGCACATATAAATTAATTACTAAAATTCTGTGGCAGACCAAAAATATATTTTTTGCCAATCTGACAAAAAATAGGTATAATTTTGATTCATTCCCAATGGACAACTGTTGTCATTTTTTTATTTGACATTTAAGAGAAAAGAGGACAGTGCCTCTGACTAAATAGTCAGGCGTTACACGTTTTAATTCTTGTATCGCCTCACTGTACCTTGGCACACCAGCTGAAAATCACTGGAGAGGATTACCATCTTGGACCAAGCCAGAAGCTAAGAATGCAGGACTGACTCTTCCGAAGAATGTACTTTTTACTATAAGACTGCGGACAAAAAGGGGGCCACATACCAAACCTGACAAGCTCAGGGTTTGCCTGGAACAAACTCAGAGACCAAAACTAACCTCACAGCATGGTCTGAACATAAAAATTCCTAACTAAAAGCAAGTCATGAAGGGTAATCATATCCTAGGCCCATAGCTTCTTTAACGAAGTCAATCTCTACCTTAAGTAATGTTTTCTTTTTTGCATCTAAAATAACATACCCTTAAATATCACAGTAATTCCTTTTTTTCCAGACCCCTCAGGGCATGAGAGCACTAGACTCATATTGTTATCCTGTTGACCAAATACCATCTCTATGCATTGTAAATGTTCATTGCTAACTATCCTATACCCACCAGTGTAAAAGAAGTATTTGTTTCTCCATTGTGCTCTTTATCCAGTCATTTTGCTTTCTTCTTCCTCCCTAAATCTACCACCAATGAATTTCATGTAAAGGCCCTATGTCTCCTCTTTTGATTCTGATATAGAAAATAAACTACAAAACTGCTACTCATGGAAGCATTTTCTCAATCTGTTGAAACTTTGCTTCCTGGCACTGCCGTCAGTTTAGTTCAAATACTTATAAAAATTCTTAAAAGGTTTTTATGCTTCTTACATTGACAGAACTCTAAGCTTTCCTTTCTTCTTCAGAATACTGGCTATTGCCTAGTCATGCTCCCAATTTGCAAACCCTAAGACCCTTGAATAAATCTTTACCATTTCTAGCCAAAGCCTCCAGACTCTTTTTAGTTCATTCAACAAATATCAAGAATTAACTCTCCCTCAATCCGCCTATACACCTGCAAGTGTAGTGAAAGACACAATGTCAATTCTTAACCTAACTTTCAAAAAATTTCCACTGTATTTTTCCCCTCTCCCTTTGCTAATACAAGTTCTATGTGTAGAAGATAGCAAGGTATCACTATGGGGAAGAGTATTCTACAACTGTAAGCCAAGTAAAATGACAACTTACAGTATTTTACTGAATTCAGCAAAATTATTAGTCAGTTAAAAATTATAATACAGTTAATTTGGTCCCCAGCCCCTCCCACTGTTTTTCTGTTCCCTTCCCAGAGAAAATGTAGATTGGTTGATGATATAAACGAGACAACAGGTGAGAATCACTGATCAATATGATATGACCATTCAATAAATATTTGAGCACTCAATTACCAGGCAGTAATAATCTAAGCACCAAAGACAGTGTCCAGAATTTTTTTTACCAGAACATAAGTATTTAATAAAGTGGATAATCTGGGGCCTTCAGGCATCATGAACCTTGATGAGACTATTCTGCTTTGATTGATTCTACAGCTTGCTTCTAAAGGAGAATTTTGGTGAACCGAATTTTCTCAGAATAAACGAGAACAAAACAAAAACAAAAACAGTGGATCTCTATTCACCAAAGATGAAAGCTGAAAAGACATCACACTTTTTGGCTAAGCATGTCATGAAACAAAATGAGAAGGGGCGGCTAACAAGAATGTGTATAGGCTGAAAAGCACAGGCTACCTATACTTGAGGCTAAGATTGAATGAGTTTAAAGTTAAGATTTTGTTTCCTACAAACTGACTTCAAGATTCATTACTATAACCCCGATTTCTGAAGGAAGAAAGGTCTACAAAACTGTAGTAAATATCAATTTACTACAAATTCTGGGACAATTGGTACAAAGGCGTGTTTTATTATACATTAGATGTCACTCTTCAATTATCACATTTTTCTTCATATTTGACAGGCTGTGAAACAAGATCTGAAGAGCTTTGGCCAAATTTTGCTCTTTGAAAATCAGTGTCCCTGCTTCCTAGTCCGCTAATCCAAAGAAGGGAATAAAGCCCACCATTTGTTTGCACAAACCTCTCCAAGTTAAAGATGCAATCGGAAAACCCCCTTCTGAAATCCGGGTATACATTTTGAAGTTATTTAAACTTGGGGGACGAGGGGGTAGGGGAAGCGAGAGAGGTGGGGCGTCCGCCCTGTATGACCGCGCGAGGGGTGGACTTGCAACAGCGTGCTCCCAGCCCTGGGCCCAGACGCCGGGGTGGGTGACTGACTCTGGGGCAGCCGGAGAGCGGGACGAAGCCAGCGCCCCAGAGGCGCGCTGAGGCGGAAAACCAAAGGGCGGGCTGCGGGGTCAGCAGGCACTTCAGGAAAGCTCGGGCGCTCTATTCAGGGCGCCGCCTGAGGTATGAGGCTGGGTTTGGCAATCCCCTTCGCCGCCCGGACCAAGTCTTGGAGGGTACCTGACTTCAGGCGGCCGGTCCACAGCTCCCTCCCGCCGCCCAGGCCGCATATAAAGCCTGTTCGCCACAAAGCTTTGACCCTCGCCAGCATGGCCAGCATCTCGAGCCTCTCAGACACTCTAGGTCCCAGCGTGAGGAGCATGCAGGCGCCCACGGGCACCTCAGACCCCACCTCCCGGCCTCTGGTAGCCACGCCAGACGCAGCGTTACGGTTTCGTCGATCTCGCGTGAGGTGTCCGTCTGGTAGGTTAGTCCCGACTGAAAACCCGAAATTGCAAAGCCCGTAGCCAAGATGGGTGTTCGGCCTTTCCTTTATCCTGTATCTTTCACTTAAATTAGCTCAATTTTTACCCAATTCAAAAACCCACTTATTCCGGTGCCCGTTAGCGGGACGTTTGTGAAGCGGAACCAATATGTTGTACGGCGCTGACGGCCGGAGGACTGTTTTGATAAAGGACCACCAATTCTCTGTGAAGGGTTGGTCGGGACAGTTCCGGGGACGCATCAGTCAGGTCTTCGTCTTCATCTCCGGATATGCACCGACAGAATTTTCGACCCCCGACTCCTCCTTACCCCGGCCCGGGTGCAGGAGGTTGGGGTAGCGGGAGCAGCTTCCGGGGTACCTCGGGCGGAGGCGGACCATGGCCGCCCTCCCCTCGGGATGGGTACGGGAGTCCTCATCCTACGCCGTCGTACGGGCCGCGCTGTAGGCCCTACGGGAGCAGCCACTCTCCAAGACACGGCGGCAGCTTCCCCGGGGGCCGGTTCGGGTCTCCGTCCCCGGGCGGTTACCCTGGCTCCTACTCGAGGTCCCCCGCGGGGTCCCAGCAGCAATTCGGCTACTCCCCAGGGCAGCAGCACACCCACCCCCAGGTAATAATAGCCAGCGTTTACCGAGCTCTTACTGTATGGCAGGCACGGTACTAAAAAATCCCTAATGTGGGTTGTTGGTTTTTTTTTTAAGTCCTCTATGACATGAGACTCAATTGTTCGCCCCGCTTTGCAGATGCGTAAACTGAGGCTCAGAGAAGTTAACTGTTTTTAGACTACCTGAGAAAGTGGCAGTCTTACTTTCTAGAGCCCTGCTTGTAGCCGCTACGCTGCCACAAATTTACAGATGATTTTCCTAGTTCTCTCTCCTTTGTCAGAGTCCTTGCCAATTCGTCTCAGCGAATTTATTCTGAGCCCGGGTACCCAAGGGGGAAAAAAAGCCCAATGAAGTCCCAGTGTGGAACTCATCTATCTAGTTTAGAGAGTTATAGACTGCTGGCACTCTTTCTTTTAACCATTTCTTCCTCTCCCCACCTTAAAAAAAAAAAATCTCTTACCATCTGTTTTCGAAGTACATTGGCTTCTGCTCCAAGTTTTCTCAAGGGAGAATCGGTTAATAGTGGAAATTTCCTATTCCTCTCAGTGAGAGAGAATACAGAAGATGAGAGAGTATTTCTGGTGTGCGTAGGATTTTTGTGGTTTACAACTTGCATATAATCGGTGGATTTTCAACTTTCCTTATGCTAAACGAACCCCATTCCTTTGAGTGTGGAGCTAAGAAGACGGGAAGATTCGTTAATTTAAGTGAAAATTTGAAGTTATAGGATTAAAAAGTTTTAATTTTTTCCAGAAAAAAGTAGAAATTTTGAGGGAAAAAATACAGTTATTTCTTATTTCTTATTTGCAGAACTATTTCTATAGTTCTGCAAAGTTTGAAAACCTGCAGTATTTGAGGTGGCAGTGGGCATAGAATTAATAATAAAAGAGCATGTCAAATTGGTTTATATACTTTTCAAAAACAAAACACTAGACTAAAGAAAGCATGGACTTTGCATTTGAATATACTTGGCTTCAAGCCACACCTTTTAACTAGCAATGTAATCCTGACTAGCTTTTGAAGAAAAAGTACCAGTGATCTCTACTAAATGTTTTTTTAACTGATTTTTTTTCTCAAGGGTTCTCCAAGGACATCTACACCTTTTGGATCAGGGCGTGGTAGAGAAAAAAGAATGTCTAATGAGTTGGAAAGTTATTTCAAGCCTTCAATGCTTGAAGATCCTTGGGCTGGCCTAGAACCAGTATCTGTAGTGGACATAAGCCAACAGTACAGCAGTACTCAAACATTCACAGGCAAAAAAGGAAGATACTTTTGTTAAAGTTTCTGAAATTCAACTGGAAACTTCATGTGTCAGGATCACCTTGGACAAAATTTTCACTTGTGTACTTAAGTTGAACCCTGACATCGGTCATCTTGGTATTTTTCATTATTATCAAATATGGGTATTAGGAAAGACATGTGGTGGGATAGTATGCAATATTTAGCTCTGTAAAAGTGCCTACCACATTTTAGAAGATTTACAGTTACCAAATATTTAACATTCTTGGTTATATAGTGGACACTTGTCTTAATGTTTAAAAATAAAACATTTTGTCTAGTTATACTGTGGTTTTGTCATATGCTAAAGGAGTAGAATTATTAAAATAATGCTTTGTAATCAGAATTCATCACTAAATATTTGCCTCCTACAGCTTTTGAAAATAAAATAGATAAACCATCCTTTGAGCTGTAGACAGTTCGGTATTTGTTTATAATAGGGAAGGAGGAGTAAAGGATGAGAATAAAGGAGATTTCTGTTCCTATTATAACCATTGTTTTATGTGCATATTTTATGTAATACTTTTGTAAAAATGCATTGAAACTAGATTGGAAGTCACAGAAACTCAAGTTTAAATTTAAAAGTTTTTTTATACCAAACTGGGAAGGACAAAGAACTACCTATTTCTTGCATGGACTAGTTCAAAGCTATTTTGTCTGAATTCCTCTATATTTTTCAGTATTGTGGAGTCATTTTCTATTGAAGCCAAAGAAGATGGCTATCAGGAGTTTCATATCACTTCCATTGTGAAGAGGACAGTTCCCAACTCTGTCAATCCCAGAGCATATAAATTGGCCATTGTTTTTGTGTAGTCCTGATCTAATAACTGAGCAAGATAGTGAAGTCTAATTAGTTTCAACAATGGACCCACCCCTACAGTGAGACTGTAGACCCACCTGGAGTAAAGAAGTAGTTTACCACAGGAAAGATTGATATGTTTATTTACCTACACTAATGGAGAGAAAAATATGAAGAGATTTTTTTCCTGAACTTTGTTTTTCTTTTAAGAGAGAAGGGAAGGGAGAAATACTGATCAGTTTCCTCTTGTACACACCCAACCAGGGCCTGAACTCATAATGAAGGCATGTGCCCTGATGGAAATTAAACCCATCTTTCAGTTTACAGGTGGATGCTCCATCCAGCTGAGCCACACCAGCCAGGGTTTTCCCAACCATTTTAACAAAATCAAGTCTCATCGTATCCAGGCTATTTTAATATTTTGAGGTCACAATACATGAAAGTAGAGCCAGTTAAATTTTTGTTTAAACATATCCAGAAATAAATGTCTAAAAATGAAATGGTCTCACCACCTACTTGAACTATACCCAGTTGTATTTGTTACATTGTCACAGAGACAAAATGAGGAGGGATTTTTAGATTAATAAAATATCCATGATAACCAGGATTACCACTGCCAAATTACTAGTTAGATGAGTTATTTAACTTCTCTGTGCCTCAGTTTTTTTGTATGTAAAATTAATAGCACCCATGTCATAGAGGTGTTGTGTTTGAGAATTAAATGGGTTTACATGTGTGAAACTCAAAAGGCCAGAGCCTGGCACATAGTAAGCACTCAATAAATTGTAGCTATTTCTCATTCACCCCTATATCCTCAGTTCTTAGAACAATGCCTGGAAAGTAGTAGGTGCTTAATAACTATTTGGTGAGTTAATGTAGACATTCGATCATATCTACTATATTGCACTGCCTTTATCTCCTGTATATAAAAGAAGAGTAAATACTTTTCCCCTAGTATATTAAAGGAAATGTTGTTATTCCCTAATACCTTGTCTTTCCAGATGATTTGAGGTCATGATGTATGATGAAAATTAGAGCAAGTAGAATACTTATATAACCCTTTTATGGAACTTCATAGGTAAAAATTACTTTCTGTAAGAAATGGCTTCTGGGAATAATTATTAAAGCATCTCTTAGAGATCACGGGGTTATTGGCAAAGATAAAAAAGGAAGTCAGGAAGGATATTGTATTGAAGTATTTATATTTGGAAGATTTTCAAATTTTAACTTCTAATTAATGTTTTTATACATTTTATTTTGCTATTTTATAAGTGTAATGTTAACCAACTAAATGTAATTTTTTTTTCTGTCAAGTTACCAACATCTTTCAGAAGTCTGACTTTCTCTAATTTTTTTAAGAGAAACATTTTTGTTTTCAAAAAAGGTGCATTTCTGTATTGCTCTAGATAGTCGTGTTTTCGGTTACAGAAGTTCTTTTGACTGAAATTTTGGTTTGTTTCTATTATAAGCCTATTTTTTATTTACCTGAGTGAATGAAATGGATTATTTTTTTAAATGAAAATTTATTTTTTTGGTGTTCCAGAGTACACATTTTTACCTTCATAAAAATGCTAAATAATTATTTAGAGAAATTTATAGTTAAGTTTTCATCTTAAGTATTTATATAATTAAAGAATGGTAAAACAGTCTATAGCTGTGTCTTCAAACAACAGTATTCAATTTCCCAAGGTATTTGCAGGCATCAATAACTTTACGGCATCCAGAGCCATATAGGCCTAAAGACCATCTCCAAAATCAGTGGATTATGCCAGTTCTCCATTTTCTTTTCTGCCATTGTGTGATCACCCTACCCTGCTTTACAAAATAAATCTGTGGCAGTTAAATTTTTCAAAAATTACCCCAACAATATTTCAGGTCCCACATACTCTTCCAGAAACTTGCCACTACCCTATCGAGGTATGGAATTATGTCCCTTCCCTTTGAATCTGCACAGAGCTTTCCTTCCTTTCCACAAGGTAGTGTGGTAGAAGTTCATGTATTTTCATTATGGGTGAGTGTAGTCTTAGAAATGGGTTTTATTGGCCCATGTGGAGGTTTTCAGAATTTAGATGTATTGTCAAGTAAGGGAGATAGAGTAATGTCAGTTTTTGTTTAATGACTTGCCTTTTTTGTCACCTGACTATTCAAAACATTTTTCTTGGGGGTGACTAGTATAAAGAAAAGAGATCATAAGGGAAAGGCACCTTATCTTTAGACAACAAGTCAGAAGGTTTGGCAACCTCATCTATCTTAGAATTAGAAAATTTGAGATTACTGTAAGAGATGATGGATTTTGTTGGCTCTGCTATAAGCAAACTTTCTTCACTATTATCAATAACAGTAAAGAATGAAGATGTCTAAAACCTGTCTGAATAACATAATTTGCATGATTTCAAGGAGAAAATTAAGTTTCATGTTTATTTCTGACAATTACATCTTCAAGTTGAAAGATCACATTTCAGAGGTAAGTTTATGGTTTTATATTTTCTGGAGCATGTTTCAGATTTTTAGGTAAAACATTATTAACCTTTGCCAGATTCATTATTAGATTCTGTGTATTCATACTAATTTTTGTACCTGGCCCAAGTCTCCTGCTTATTGTCTCTGAGCCATTTCTCCGTTTTTATCATTCCAACTATGTATTATTTATTATAAGTGAAATAATAGTCATCCATAGCACTCATAAAACATAATAGCCATCAGGATACTTTGCATAATAAGCTCTGAACTTACTAATAACAAACTACCTTTTTGGTCTTAGCTTTTGCAGTCTAATATAATTTTTTTCTAAGACATTATTATTATGTGATTGACCATTACCTACCACTTAGTAAACACTGCCAACTAAACTACGATATGCCATGGATTGTAAGATACATCCCAATTTCAGAAATGTTAAAATGTATATTTTAGTTAAACAATGCTCTTAAAAGCAGAACATATATTTACATATAGGTACAGGTATAGTCCATAAAATATAGTTTTAGGACATAGTGTATTTAACTTTAGAAAAATAGCTTTTAGTATTAATTCTTCTCAGATCTTTATATTCTCTTCTAATTTTGTAAAAAACAAATGCTTTTCAAACAGAAAACTTCTAATCTCTATATAATCATCCTAAAGAAATCTGTGTATCTTCCAATTGTACAAGGTTGTTGTACTCAGTTTTGTCTTAATTTTCATAATCAAGGTGATTCTAAATAAGTTGTAGTTAAATCTTGGGAAAGCCTTTTGGTTCACGCTCCAAGGAGCTGAGAAGGAAAATGGCCTGAACAACAAGGTCTCCAGTGAGGATGGTTTTAATTCTTTGCTTTCAGCGGGAAGAAAGCTTAAACAATTGTCAATTAATGATCATTAAGAAATAACTTAATGATAGATCAGTTTATGATTTTTGGCACATAGCATAAAAGTCATCCAAGAATTAAGTGGTATCATTATAACAAAATTTTATGTTTTTATTTATATGCATGAATTCTCAGAATTTACTTTAAAAGTAATGATAAAATTGATGTTTCGTTCTAGCAATTACCAATATTTACCCTTGAATATAGTAAAATACAGCACCATCCATTCATATAGCTACATTTCCAATAAAAACAATTTTGTACTTTTAATGACTTAATAAAATTGATACATTTATGTTGTTCTTATCATTTGAATAGTAATAATAATTCAGACAACAGTCTTTAACATTTGGAGGTTTATATAGGAAATGGATTTTGTAATTTGAAAAATTTTTTCTTTCAATAAATCACTTTTCATACTTTATGAAAAATAGTTCTATGACCAAGGTATCAGTAAAAAACTGTGAACCATCACATTATCACAAGGAGATAAAAATTACATGGAGAAGTAAAATCAAAATGGGAATAAAATAGTGTAAAATTTTCTACCGTTTTAAGGAATGATGGTAGATAATCAAATTGATATAATATTTAGATTCAGTTAATAATGTAGTAGGTTTAGCTTGAAATATCACTACTGTACAAATGACTTCCTTTGCCATTTTTGAAACATGATAGAAGTGTTGATCAAAAACACTTGAAAAACTTTTTTTAGTGTTTGAAAAAACACTGGAAAATTTATAAAAAGATACATCTTTTCAAAATTACTTTAAAGAAGATATGACCAAAATTTGTAAAGATTTCAAACCAGCAGAAAGGAGATGGAAATATAGTAAACTATAAATATAGGAAAAGTCAGAGAAGGAGGAAAAAGTAAAATGAAAGCAGTATTCATTTTTTATATTTCAATAATATATAAAATATTTCAATAATAACCTAAAAAACTAAAATTTGCCTTTTAAAAGACATCTGACTATTACAGAAATGGAATCCATTACAGGGTATTTGGTGGTTTAGAAAAGATATATCTAAATGAAGAGCTATGTAGAATTTAAGGATATAGAGACCAGTATATACTACTAAAATTATATATGTAATATATATATTTTTTCAGATATACACAGTATATAATAAGTTTTTA